CTTACAGCACGATTAATTAATCCTAATTAAACCTCTTTATTTATCAAACCAGATTAGTGAAGTCGTAGATGTTGTGTGCACAGTTATCACATTTCATAAAAATAATGTTGAAATTTTAATTGGTGTTTTCCTCAAAATGTCGCTTGTGTTGCTCTACTTTTTATTTCTTCATTAAAGTGTCAAAATTAGTTCTTCAGTTCAGTAGCTAAAAGGATCCAAAGAACTAATTTCGGATGTTTAAAGGGTGTGAGGGAAGCATTTTTAAAACACAATCAGCTCCAACATTCGTATTACCAGCCCTATATACGAATATGTCTATATGTCTCTTATAAACAGTTTAGGTTTCCCACTAAATCCCAGCACCTAAAGCCAGGCACAGGGGCAAATTATGTAGTTTATTTGCAGACCTAAAACTTGCATACAGTGTACCTCATCTCCATTATAACACCCCACATATGGGCATTACGGTCTGTGAAATTGTTTCACAGACAGACAGATTGTTTCACAAATGTTCTGGCCTTTAACATCCAAACTGAAAATCAGACATCTCTTCTACACCAAGAAAGTGCTGCCGGTGAACAGACCTGCTGTGTTTTGTTCTTCTGTTTGAGATGAACTGGGCGCATCTTGCAGAATAAAAATGCCTTCTGCGTTCACACACAGCTCACACAGATCTGAGCTGATCTCAAGGGTGTGCAGGATATTTAAACTACTGTTGTTGTTCCGCACAAGTAAAACCAGATCCCCCAGCTCTTGCATTTGAAGTGCAAAGGCCCATGCAGAGAAACGCACTGATCAATACCCTGCACACAGTCAGCTGCTTGCACTGGGGGGGGGAGGGGGACAGACCCTGCTGCACACCCAAAGGCACACGGGGGACATTGCAACGTGTGTCGGACGCGCCTCCGAGCTGGACAGCGGGTCCGGCCGCAGCGCGAGTCGCCCCCGCGCTCGTGTGTATGTGCTGCGGCGCACGCAGCCCATGGCGAGCCACGCTCTCAGGCCCGGCACTGATTGGTCGCTGCCCACGCCCACGCCCCGCCCCCCCCCCGACCGCAAGCCTTCGAAACTTTAAAGTTTAAAGCGCTCGCAGGGCGGAACAGTTGGGAAAAGTGTCCACATACACTTACAGAGATGAGCGGAGAGTGAAGATAGGCTCGGAAGAAATGCGGTTGCAAATGCACGAACGTGTCTTATACGCACAGAAGAGGAGCAGTAGTCACCTGTGCATGCAGAGCTAAGCGAGGTTAAGGTATATTGAAGTATGTGGTTCAGGTGGGCAGCTGCGTCGGCTGCAAAGGAAGAAGTAGCAGGTTGATTCCCTGCTGAAAAACAGAAGAGAACACAACGTTTCGGCTGTGGAGCCTGTGACACCCGAAGAAGGCTCCACAGTCGGAAGTGTTGTTCTCTTCTCTGTACAGTAACCAAGGCCACTGAAGGCGCTGTTACTCCATTCTGGGCGAAGAGGTGCTTAAAGTGAAATGCAATTCACTGGGGGGCGTAAAACCAACTTTCTTGTTCACCCCCCACGGAGGATATTAAACGCACTGCGAGAGCAGGCCAGCTGTGTGTGAGGGTACGGGCCTGTATTTCCAATGACCGACAGCGAGCGTCCCGTTGCGGGTCACGACAGAGCGGGTCCTAAGT